AATCTTGCCAAGAAAACTGCAGGGACCTGTCCAGGTAGTCACCAGGAATCAACATTGATTTGAAGGCACCCCCCCCCTCCCACCGCATCAGCTCTATAGTGATGATGGTTCAGTAGGAGAAAATAACAAATGGATGAAAGTGTCTTGGCTTCACTTCTGCCAGCAGCTTTACAAGCCTTTCCATAAGAGGAAGCCTTGAGGAAGAAAAATTCAGATCTCTGCCATTGCTTTCAGTCTTGAATATATCCCTTTGGATCTGACTCCAAACTTAGTTCTTAGTCTATTTGCATTTCTTTACTGAAAAGTGAATCTGAAGCTGCATATCAGACCCTGAAGTCTGCACGATCCACTAAGAACTTAATTGGCACAAACCTCAACTGAATTTTTGAGAAATGTTCCAAAGCATTCCCATAAATCATTAGCTTAAAAATATGACTGATTATCCTAAATCCCATATGAGACAGCAGCTTTACTTTCACTGAGAATTAAATATTCTGGGTATGCAGGTATGCATTGCTTTCAAATAAAATAAATAAAATATTTGAGGCCAAACTTATAATTTAAACCATGGCAGAAGCAGAATAAAGTCTAACATCACTAACATCTCCCTTCAAATGAAAGTAGGGGGAAGGGGAAAGCTTGGAAAAGTTGAGGATTTGCTGCGTAAACAGTTACAGTGTATTATGTCCAATAGTGTCAATGGATTCTTTGGCGGGTCTTGTATGCTGCGTTACATTATATTTTGCAGTTCTTTTATGCAATATGGGTGGGAGTGCATTTAATGATTCAGCAGCAATTATGCAGGCATTTATACGAGGGAAGCCTCAGTGAATTCATTGGTACTTAAGTCTGAGAAATCAGGCATATGGACGTGCTGCAAACAAACACTTGTAAAATCAAAGCGTGTCCAAATGCTTCGTCCAGCCCCACTGACCTTTGTTACATTATGCAGTTCAGTTTCTTGGGATGCCAAAACTAGGAGTTATTATTAATTTGTTCACTACAAATCATAACTGGAAACTGGTATAAGAAAAATAAAAGTAATAAAAAAGAAAATAAATTGGTAAAATAAATAATCTGGGATTCCCAGAAATCTCTACTAGGAAACATTACTAATTAAAAATTAAAATAAGTAAGAATGAGTTCATAGGAACTCATTAAAACCCATAAGAGCATTTTAAAATGTTCATGCTCATTAATTGTACTGTTTAACATTTCTTAATTTTTATTTAGTAGGATGTGATAATGAAGATTGGCGAATCCGAACTATAATTTTAGCGGTTGTATTGTCAGTTGTTCTTTTACTCCTTCTGATCCTTATTATTCTCCTTATTATATGTTGCTGCAAAAGAAAGAAAGGTATGTGGGCCTTCTGGAACTAGCTTTGCATCTTAAACCTTAATTTTAAATATAATAGACAAATCTAAAACTGTTAGTTTTGTGCCAGAAACAGAATCCCCGCTTGTATATATTAAAAATGGTTTCTCTGCTATTATTTTTTCTGCAGGATAAAATCTGGCTATGAATAACTTGTAAAGAAAAAAAATACATTAGCATTCACAAAACAATACACTTTGCCTCTTTATAATGCACTGTAATTGTTTACATGTCAAACCTTCAAAAATTTGGAATTAATTATTTCAGATTTGTTATTTCTTTGCTTGTTCATTTGATATAAAGCCCATCATTTCTCCAACAGTTCAAGGCAGTCTCAATAACATTCTGTCCTTCAGTTTTTCTCTAAAGTAACATCCCTGTGAAATAGGTTGAGTTAAGAGATACCAAGCTTCCATGACTGAAGACAGAAAGAAAACTAAACCTTCTCAGTCCTAGTTCAGCTTCTAGCTAGTATACTACACTGGCATAGGAACAAAATCTGAAGAAACAAACAAACAAACCACCATTAAGAGCTAGGAATCCTGCAATGTGGCCACTGTATTCATTTCAAGCAGAGGTTCTCCTGCAATGCTGAATGTGAGGTTTTCAGGGATCTGTCCTTTCACACAATCTCATATTTTGTGCCTCTCATAATTCTGCTAAGGGCATCATTAGGGCTTGCCAGTGAGGAAGAGTGAGCTTCCAGATAGCCAAAGTTGAGCGGCTGGGCTTGAAGTCAAGAGTCAGCTTGTACCACAGTCTGGCATCTACAGCAATAATTGGAGTAGCAGTAGTAGGTATACGGGAAGAAGGAGAGATAGCAGGGTACTGAGTCCTCCAAATCCTGCATTCCATGTGCAGAGGGAGTCAGATTGCAGCTCGTGTTTGCAATTCATTAGAGAGGAGATTTTTTGTCAGTAATTCACAGAATTCATAATTTGATGCTAGATTCATGATTTATGAATGGAATGTTCTTGGTTCCTGCACAGTAACACTGTTCTTTTTAATTTCAGTGAGGGTATAGGTCCACACATACACACGCACACACCTATTTCTGTTCAAATGATTAAGAATGCTTGTGTCTGCAAAACATTTCATTGGATGTTGGATCAACCTTCTCTTTTAAAGCAAATCAGCATTATGAAAAAGTTAGATTTTTCTTTCCTAGTAAGTTGCCATGCTTGTTTGCTATATTCTAAAACCTGTCCTTTTACTTTTCCAGAGTCCAACTATCAAAATGAGATAAGGTAAGATGATTATCACTTTTAGTTCCCTTATTTGTGCTAAAACATATATTGTATTTGCTTAAGATCATAAGTGACATTAATACAAACAAAAGAAAGGCAAACATAGAAAAGTGATAATGTCACTAAATTGTAATGAAATAAAATCTGTATGATCTCTCAGATGGCCCTCCATCCTTTGAGTCTGTAAACCTTTTCTCACTACAGCACAAACATGCCTTAGCAACCTTTTTCATGCTTTGTTCTCATGATGTTGCCTTCACCTGGTTACTAACCAAATTGAGACAGACTTAGTTGTCCTTAGCTGTTCCAGTTTTAAAACAGTGTTTTGCCTCTTATCCTGACACAAATTTTTGCCATGCATATAAGCTTGCATGCATCAGCAACCATTCTACTGCTGATGTGGTCAGATGACTCCTAAGGTTTAGAATAGACCAGCTTCTGTCGGCTTCTTTAAGCTGATGCAGCCTCCAGGCATATATCAAACAAATTTAAAACAGGAGGTTTATATGATTTTGGGTAATCTCAGCACACTCTATAAACCAGTTTGTGGGTTTGCTGCCTACCCCTCCCATCTTCCCTGGTTGAACTAAATACAGATTCTTGGTTACACAACAGTCATTTTCTTTCTTCCCAAGTCTCCAAACCATTCTGTTTTATTTTACTATTTTGTATGATGAAGAGGTCCTGTATGACAGTTTCTATGTGTTTCCAACCTCAAAGCAGATGCTGAGACCACATAAAATGGCTTCAGGAACCCCATAAAGTAGGTAGCTCTTTTAATAGGACAACTCACAAAATGGTATGCATCTTGGGGTTCTCATCCCCAACCCAAAATGTAAATGCAACCTCTGATCGCTGAAGGATTACCACTCCTCATTTGGCTGATTATAAAACTTTTGATGATAGCTATGGTTCCTTACATAATCCTAGTTAAGACTTTGCGCTCTTCAAAAAAGGTGAAAAGGAACACAGTGTTCAGGCCAGAAATGCCCCAAATGGAAACTTCAGTGCAGGGCTTCAGAAAATATCTGTTTTGTAGCCAGCCTTCCTTTTAGAAGCTTTCATATTTAGTACTTGAAACATATACCACAGGAGGTCACTGTGTACCAAAATAGCTCACTGCATTGGTGCTTCTATTCCACAGGCTCTTAGTATAGGATGTCTGCTACAGAAAGAGATCTGAAACTGAGACAGGTTGAGGTGGTTCACAGAGTGCAACTGCCAGGCAAATTAGATTACTTCTTCTACTTTTCTAAGAACTTTGAAAACAACCTCTTGAAAGGCAATGCTTGATAACAAATTGTTTCCAAATTAGCAAAATGAGTTTTAATCACTTGCAGAGATGCAAGCTAAATGTTATGTTAGAATGCTCTGGGCTTTCCAAATTTAAAAATGAAAGAGATTTTTATTGCTATTAATTAAGACACCACAAATAATATTCCTGAATATTTAACACATTTGTGGAAGATTTTTAAGGTCTTCGGTTTTTGTTCATTTTTAAAAGTATGTGCATTGAAACCTTTCTTTTTTCCTCAAAGGAAAGAAGAAGCTTAGCCCAGAATTATGGTTAATAGTACAATTTCCTTAATTTTCATTGTTTTTTTTTCACTGAAACAAAACTGTGAAAATACAAAGTTTTAAAAAATTAACAAAGAACAAAAGCAAAAACTAAAACAAAAATCAAAAAACCAAACCCCTCTGTGTTTATAGAGTATTGTAATGGAAGAACTTCAGTAACACACACAGACCCCAACACAATTGTACTTCATGAATGAACTGCTAAGACTGCTGAAAAAACCCTATCTAACTTCTAAAGCTTTTTCATAACTAGATGAGTTGCAGTAAGCCTAACCTGCACCCAGCATACATAATATACCTACTCCCTTAGTCTATGTGGTTAGGGAGAACGCTTCCATGGAAACGCCTTTAGTTTGAACTGATGGACATTCAAGGCCAAGAACAATGATCAGTGTCATCTCCAATTTGGTCTAGTAATTCTTCAGTAAATGTAGCAGGCTATATTTGAAAACAATGATTCTGGCTGACAACTCACTCTGAAGAATGTCTCTTGGTTGGTATTAATACCAGATTTGTCAAAGTGGTGCAGAATGTCCTGAAGTTCCACTGTTGATCCCATAATCAGGGCATCATCAAAGTGTGGCAGAATACCCAGGATTCCAGAAGGTAGTAGAATCTCTATGAAATATTGGAATATTACAGGGGTTACAGAGAATCCAAATTGGAGAAACTCACTTCAGAATATCCCATGATGGGTGATGACAGTCTGGACATCTGCTGTAGCATCATTAGTTGTTAAATGATGATACCATTGAGCTAGATCTAGTTTTGCAAAGACTTTTCTGCTACAGTTGATTGACTGCAGGTGCTGGATATGGGTGGTGTTTAAGTTCCTTATTTATAGCTCTGGCAAAATACAAATGTTATGATATGCACCATAGTTTTCCAATGGCAGTATTTCTGAGATTTCAGCATGTACTTGTGGTTCTATTTTGTAACATTTGCATTTATTTACAAATATGAACATTGGACGTTAGGTGAAAGTTCACAGTAGTAACTCCAACGGTCAAAGTGGGTTGATTCCCCATCAGATTTCTAGAGGGAGGGACACAGTAACCTCCCTAAAGTTATACAACTCAAATTCAGCTAAGCCTTTCCTGAAATGTCTGCCAACTTTTTTAAAGACAAAGTTCTTTAAACTCCTGGCAAAATCCTGACAAATACATCTCCCATTCTAGCAGATTCACTGGTTGTTTCCTTAGACTTCAATAAAGCTAATCTTTTCCAGGAAAGGAAAAAATTTTGCTACCTTTTATTTAACAAAGCCAGATCTATGTGTCAGGTCTGAAATTGACCAATATTTGTTTTGTACAAACCTCAACCTCAAGAACATGGAATCACTAATTCAGAAGGGTTCTCTTCCAAATTAGAACAATTACTTAAGTATAAGGGCTTTAGTCCAGCATTCCAGAAAAGGGGGGAAAGGAGTCACTGCTGTAGAACCAACAAATGTTTTGCCTCCAATAATGCTGGCATCTGAAGTAAATGGTTTATTTCACAGAAGCACCTGTGATTGCTTATTGGAACAAATCCATTGGGGTTTTCCTTGGGAGGGAAGAATTTCAAACAGTTCTCTGTTACAGCAGAATACAGACATCTAAAAGCTTGGAATGCTTTTTCTCACGGTAAATATTCAGGAGAGGAGGTACAACAATATAAAATAGACCCCAGTGATGTATTTCTGCTTGCCAGATTCCTGATAGTGCTTTTGTTATAGTAGCTGATCTATGAAGTGTTCCTGCAAAACAGCCTTAATCCTAATACATTAGTGTAAGAATGATGAATCAGACTGTTCCTTAGCTTATTAATAACTTTTTTTTCTGAAAAGTCTGGTGCTGCAAATAAACCTTACCAAAAGATCCTGATGAATTACTTTTACAAGTTGGACTTAAACTGAAAGCTGATTAACTCAGAGATTTCAGGGAAGCAGATGGGAAATGAAGCCAACAGTCAGCTCAGTTAGACCAAATGGAGGTATTCATGGTTCCAGATAGCCAGCTCCTGGCACCACCAATCAAAAGACATTGTGCAACTCTTCCATCTTTCTGTTCCTAATAGATTTTGTGTGGTAAGAAAAGGGTAGAAGGAATTGTGGGAGCAATGGCATCTGCAGGCAGGAGCAATGGTGGGGGGAAATCAGGATGTCAGCAATGTTTCAGCGTCGCTCCACAAGTGTTGTCCTTTTTCCATGTGTGTCATAATATCACACACGCTTCAAGAGGGTTTAGCATTAATCTCACAGAAGTGTCAAGTTCCTAGTTGTCCCTATGGCTTGTTTGTTTGTTTGTTTGTTGAATTTATACACTGCAAAAATCTGCATGGATTCCTGGTAGTTTACATCCATCAAATCTAAACTTATAAAATACATTCAATCCAAATAAAGCACTACACCCTTATACGTAGCATTAAAATACAAAAAAGAACTAGAATAATGGCCAGGAAATAGAAAGATAGATGACAACCGCTCCTGAGTCCCCAAATGCCCTCTGGAACAATTCTCTTCCGGAGGGAGCTATCCTAGCTTCTAGGAGGAGGCTATGGCAAAGCACTGGGGCCCCCCGGTCCATGAGTCCCTGCCTCCTTCACGAAACTAGGAGGCCATGAAAAGATTTCCTGGACGTACACATACTGGGTGGGATGGATGGGTCGCTTCTATGTGGAGAAGATGGTCCTATAAGTACCCAGGACCCATGTGGTCATTCACTGGCCAAGGATAATGCACACCCACCAGATTACTGGTAACAGCCACCAAGCAGTGGTGTTGGCTGGTTTAATCACATATCTAATAAAATGTTCTATAAGCTGTGAGGTTCAAAGCCTGAGGAGAGTAACTTCTATTCATACATACGTCTTAAATGATTTGGTTGCCAATGTCAGCCATTTTTATTTTCTAGAAAGATTTCAGGGAAGAAAGAAAGAGATAGAAATTTGGAGACTGTAAGTCACAGTGGGAAGGAAAACTATGGCTACAGTGAAGACCAAATAGCACGTAAGTAACCTTTAAATGAAAAAAAATGTTCCATATACTGTAGCACTTACCTCATATATGCATTTTAAATTCAGCCCTGTTGTACTTTGATGGTCAGAAAGTAGGCAAATATTAATATTATTCCTAGCTTTGCTACCATCAGGGGATCCAAGTGTGTGTGTGTGTGCATGCACAAAGATGTCAAGATTGCAGGCATGCAGCAGTTGAAGCCCCATCTCTTTAATGTGCATTGTATGCATCACCCATATAAAAAGGGCTGGTGCTTCAATTGCACATTTGTATCTGCCATTTTGATATATGTCCTTCCTGCCGTCTAGCAGGCATGGATTTTTACAATGCAGATATAATAACCCTAGAACAGTGAAATCTTTAATAGAGTGACTTGAGAAGTTAAAATAAAATGAAGATATGCGTCCTGTTTTTTTACAGTATATTTTAACGAGTAGCAAACAGGTGAAGTCTCTGAATTACTTCCTGAAGAAGTTTCATGGAAATTTCATTTCCATGACTAGACTGATTAAAACTAATGATTAATATTCTCTTTAAAAGGATATTTCCAGCCAAATTTGTTGCAGAGGAAACTAATTGAGAATATATATCAATCAGGACGTGGCCCCAGGATCCAGGTCTTATGCAGAGAGAAGCACAGAAGCCAGCTTCAAGTTTGTATCAGGTTCCCCATCTAGAATATAATCTGGACTGACAAACCCATAGTACATGCCAGTATCTTGAAAAAGGAGTGGATGCTGGGTTGTATGATCAAAGGGCCTGCAGACATACCTATACAGGTTTCATTTTATACATTTTGCTGGGTATGCATGAATGCGATGAGAGTTGCATGCAAGCTGAGTAATTTTAATTGCTTGGTTCTAGCAGTTTCTTCTATGGCCACACAACACTAAGCCAAGATTTGTTTTGCCCAATTTGTTTTAATGGCTGAACTATTCCAGTGGAAAAATCATTGTTTTTCAAGGAACAAACCACCATTGGAAACTGTAACTAGAATTTAGTGTATGAATCCTGAGTTATTTTCTAACTGGTTTATGTCTAAATTTGGAATCTTGTCTTATTCTTATTTGGTTCTGGGTTCCACATAGGTTTCTTGTCATTCCAAGAAGATGAGAGGGAAGAGCAGCTGAAAAAGATACTGTTCCTCAAGCTAAACTGCTTTTTCCTCAGCTTCTAATTTTCTCCAGTAATAATGATCTTTTCACACCCAGTTGCTCCCTGCCCAGAAAACAGATGAGTTATGGCTTCCAGATATATTACCACCTTTTTATCATTTCTCCCCTAAGCATAATAAAATACAAAATGTTGTCACCTTTATTGATTCACAGAAAACATTGTGATATTGACAGGTATGAGTCATTTAAAAAAATTTTTTTCAGTTTCTTACTAGCATTTTAAGAAAATATCAACTGAATCTATGTACAGATTATTTTGTTTCATGATAAGCTATCTGTTCTTTTTTCAGGAAATTTTCATCTGTTTTTTGCTTTCTGAAACAATGTATAGTTCCTGCCATTTTGGGTACTCATTAGCACCATTATCCTGTATGTTATCTTCTGTTTTGCAGGAGATCACACTTCCTTCCCAGTTAAACAAAACTTTTATAACACAAAGCAAGATCCATATGTGAGTTCTTCATCAAAGGTAACTGGGAAAATCTTTCTGAGATTATAACATACGTCATAGAGTTGACTTTTTCTTCATGGCCAACGTTCTGAGACTTGCAAGTAAAAGAATAAGTTGGCAGTTCATACCTACTTACCTTAGAAGCCAGACAACTACATGTAAAAAGGGCTATAACCTCTCAAGATATTTCCTGCAGTCTCAACTTACTCATATCCATTCCCTGGGCCACACTGCCTTCTAGAAGCCAAGGAAAATGCTTTCTCTTGTCTTCCAGCTGACCTTCATGATAGCCTACCAACCGCCTCAGTTGTCCCAGTGTCTTGCATCCTGATCTCTGCTGTGTGTCAGTGAGAAGAGGTCAAAGATAGAGAGCGCATGTGTCTTTAGTTAATAATTCATGTTGTATATCAAGTGTATAGCAAAGCATACAAAAATGGACAACTGTGATGGGCTTCTTGATAAAATTTTCAGATCACCAAAATGTGAATCCATTTAGGAAGCATGTAGATTCCTATACAGATGAAATATAAATGTATTAAATAAAAAAATTGCACCATAATGCAATCAATCAAATCCACTATCAGCTGATTAATATAATGTATATGAAGAAATTAGAGTGATATAGAAATAGTTTTAAGATAGGATGACAGTTTTTACTAAATTTTCCACTGTGATTTTTGGTCATTTTCCAAGCATTGATCTTAATTTCCACTGGTATTTTATTTAATATTTTTCTAGTAGCAATAAAATAGGAAGCCTAAAATTCTACATGCAAAAAAGTGTACTTCTCTCTCACATGACCCCCTTATTATTACTGAACATATAGTACCTACTTTTGAAAATTATTTGGCAAGAGATAAACATTTGATCCCATGGTAAATGCCAACTCATGAATATAGAACAGTCATTTTATGTGGCAAACAAATCAGTTGAAGAATGATAACTCTATTATCACCTTTCAGGAGTCATATTACTGAAAGAAAGACATTTGGTCACTTAATTTATTGGACTCTGATCAAGCTACAGTTAGTCATGACTATGTTAGCTACAAAATACTTTTTATTTGGGTTCCAATAAGACTTAAACACAGTCAGTCCTAAGTGTGTAGATTCTGGGGTTAATTCCTCTGAGTGTGTTAGATTTATTGGCCTGGTTTATATACAATATTAAGCTAGAATAGATGGATTCAAACTTCAAATTAAGCCAAAAACAAGTATTGTATGGACCAATGTATTATTACTTAGCCAAGGTTTTATCAGTTTACCTGCTCAAGCTTCTGATTTTTAAAACTTTGCCACTTACAGTGAGTAGATAAAGTTTAGAAATACTTTGTTAATAGATTGTGATTTATTTAATCTACTAGGTGCCTAACAATGGACTTCAAACTGAAGAACTTCCTTCAAGAACTACTGTTTACCCAGTTAATCCACGCAAAATCAGAAATGTGACACTAATATAGGAAAGCACTCAAAACACCAATATCATTTCTTACAGTTTCTTCATATGTTTTACCTGAGAATCAGAATCAGTAAGTAATAATCTCTGAGGAACTTTAGTGAAGAAGCCACTGCTGTCCCCCTTCCCCCCATGGCAATTTAGAATAAAAACAGAACAAATTTCCCTTTGAATATTTATTTTCTGACTACTGTAAAATTTACTGTAAATTTTTACTGTAAAATGGTGCAAGTTTCACTAACACCTTTGATCTGTTAATTCAAAATAAGATTTTGTTTAATTAAACATCTCTTTTTGTATATCAGTCATATTCTAAATCATGAGATCAATGATTAATTTTATTTTTAAAATGTAAGCACTTATGATTCAAGATTAATAATCTTATTGCATATTAAAAAAGCAAATATATTTCTGATTGCATACATCAGATAGTGCTGACATGGCAACAGGAACACATGCAAGGATATGTACAATTCAGATTTAAAATAAATCCAACATGGATTTCTATGGGAGCAGGTAGGAAAGCTTAAATGAAATGGAATCCACTGTGACATGGCATTGAATAGATTCAATAGTATTGATCCTTCTCCAGTCAAAAAGTACAAACATGGCACCATTTGTTTGTAAAAGATGCATGTAAAATAGTGCATATACCTGAAATTTGCATTAAAAAGTATAAATTAGAGTGATTTACATTTTAAAGGGTTAACTATTTGGGTAATTTTTAAAAGAAATTACATCCAAACAATTAAATTAAAATGCTTATGCAGGAAAATATATATAGCAATATATTTCCAATATATTTTGCGAAAACTTATATGAAATATGTATGTTGGAAAGCTTTGTTACACATATAAGTATGTACATAAACTATGTTTATTAGGGGAAATTGCATATAGAATTCCATGTTGAGTAAAATTGTAACAAATCAGAACAGATGTTTTTAATGATTATTTTGTTAAACATCCACTGAAACTGGAATCTTCTCTTAAGGCGGGCAGTAAAATAAAACTTTTATATTGAACTGAACATCTGCAATCATAATTGGACTGGTAGATAGATAGTATAATCATGAAATGAGAGTTTATGTTTTTTAAATAATTTACATTTCTACAAAAGAAAAAATGATAAATTGTCAACACAAAAGTTTTGCTATTAATATTTCAGATATTATTGTGCCAAGCAACTTAACTCCCTCAGGTTTCACTTGCTATTGCTTTGAGGTATATTGTCCATTTAATTATATTTTTTATTACTTAGTTTACATACAGTAATGCTGATTTTCTCTGTGTTATACACCTGTCATTTAAGAGCATAGTTGGAAGTAGGAGTTATTGAAATTTAATTGGGCATGTCTCCTTCAATAAGTTGAATGACATTTCTCAAACCACTTTTTCCTTGAAAAATGTGTCATTTTTTTCAAAATCTTTGCATAAAGTATCTATGATTATTACAAATGCATTTTACATGATTATACTACCCAAATAAAATGTACCTAATTTTCACCATTTTCTTTCTAATTAAACACTTTCTAAGCTAGAAAGTCTGTGTCATCTTAAAGAATAACACATTTATTTTGGCACTTTTGTGCACTGGAATCTTCTTTATTAAAGTTGTTCAATCTCTTTTAAAACCACAGTAACTTTCCTGCTCTTTGAACATATACAAAATTGTTTCTTCTGCAAAGGACTAAAATAGTTACTTTACTAGAATAATGTAATTATGCTTGGTAAACTGCCCTGCCTTGCTCATTGAGATCTTATTCTTCATTCAGTCTGTAAATATAAAGATGCAAATATTTAGTTTTTTCATAAAAGTAATTTCTATAGGGACCTCTGGTTAACCTTTGTAAAATTCTTAGCTTTCATTTTTTGTTAACTAACCAGAAATGATGTAAGTGATTTCATCACCTCCTTCTTCCTGTCTTCCCCACTTCCCTGCACATATATTTTATGATGCTTAGCACAGGCTCTCCTCAAAATGGAAGCAAGACAGGGTGTGCGTGACTGAGGCTGTCGTCTGTGGATGATAAACAGTGGCTATTTGGCTTCAAAGAAAGGAACAGGAGGAAGAATTACATTGAAAACTGAAATAAAGGCAAGAGGTAGCAGAAGAGAGTTAGGCATTTTTTCTTCCTTTATGATCTGTCCCCACACAGGGAAGAATATGGACCTCTTTACCTCATACATCTGAATCAAAAAGGGGAAAGGGAGGAATTTTTATTAACTACCACATGGCTTCACTAGATTGTGATTACTGAAAATAGAAGTGAGGAAAAAAGGTACTCAGAACCAAGCTTTGTGTTTAACAAAGCAGCACTTCTTTCTGGGATGTCCAAAAGCATGCTTGCCTCAACATTTAATAAAGGTTACACTTGAGGGATAATGAGGAAATACAAGAAGACCATGGAAGATGCAGAAGAGACTTCTAGAGCCAGGAAAAAACAAAGAATAGTGTGGTTCTTGGAATAGGCAGTCATATATGTTTTTTAAACAAACACATACATTTATTGCATTAATGATTGTTCCTATACCACAAAGCTTTATATGGAGTTTGAAATATTTCTTGTAAAGGACACTTGAAATCTCAAGATCCTACATTGCCAATCAATAGGTGAACTAGTATAATTTTGAAGTGAGAGAAATATTAGAGTGACCATCATAAAATATAGATAGTGTCACTTCTTCATGTTCATTCAGTCTTGGCAGGAAATTTCGAGTGTACTTCCTCCTGGTTTGAAAGATCTTTTTTCATTTTGAGCTACAGTGGTTGTGAAATATCACACAAAATTGTGGTGAATATTGCTATCTAGCAATAAGAGACACACACAAAAAAAGAAAAATATCTTCCTAACTGCAGAAAGTGTGTGTGTGTGTGTATATGTATATGTGTGTATACACACACACACAAACATGCAGATACAGATACATGCACGCGCACACGCACACACACACAAACATAAACACACACCACACACATTCATTACAATGAACCAAATTAATCTAAATTATCTATAATCTAGAAATGATGCAGGTATAATATAACAAGTTTGTTTGATTTTATCAAATATATGATATGTTTCACCATTCCTGAGATACCAAAAATGCTGCGGTTTTCTGTTTGGTGCACACACAAGAGTGTATACCCATCAGTTTTATAATACAACCTTTGGGTAACCTTACCAAAAGCTTGTTTCTGTTGTTTCAGATGAGCCTTGATGAGATACCTGTCATCTAATGGGCTCCAATCAGCTGATAGGTCACAAATCATGCAGGAGTATTTATACTCTTCATGTTCTGGCACTATTTTTTCATTTTCCTTGTTCAAAATAGTGTTTTATGGTTTTTATATTTTTAAAGCTGCACTGGGGTGGCATTAATTTCATTGTACAA